GCTAGAAAATGGAGAAGTTCTACAGCAAAGGTACACAACAGCCCGCAGCAGTATAAAAAACGCTTAAATAGTTAACTCCTCTGACTACTCCAGTTAGGCCTTACTTCCAATGAAGGAAAGTACGACGAAGAACGACGTCTCAAATGGTGCAATAAGCCCTGATGTCTATTGTTGGCCGGATGAAGAAGTGCACAGGGAACCTTCTAGGTTATCTCGTCGATGTGGTCCTATAAGACAATTTAAGGAAAGGCTGCATCATCTGCTGCAGCATAAGGTGTTTCATCTCACCGTTGTTGGACTTGCTGGACTGGATGGCGTTTTTCTTATACTCGTTCTCTTCCTGGGAATCGAACGATTACAGTCTTCTGTAAGTTATCTTTCAAACTAAAGCATTTGAATAAGACTGCCAAGACATTAATGTAGCCATGTGGTATGAGTTCCCATCATGCTTATTTATTATTTCTCTTGATGCAACATTAAAAATTCACTAGATAAATCGTTTCGCTTCTTCTGAAGAACCACACATAGCTTGTTATTTTAGAAACCAAAAGTTATTTAAAATTGCAGCTTACTATTTAAGTTTTTCATATGCTGGAGCCATTAAACTATAAATCTCATTTAAAAGACTATGAGTTAGTAACAGATATTGAAAGAAATCCTACTTGGGCGAGTATGCTTGATAGCAGGCAACATGCAGCTTGCATTATCAGTCGAGATATTATTAGTAAAAAAGATTTAGAAATGACATTTTAGACTTTTGTAACACATGTTACAACATATGTAAATAACAAATGTTATTACCTATTATATATATAAACAAACGCTAATTACACCGTTTGCAAATGAAAATCATGAAATGACTGTCAGTTTAACTCCCTCTAAACACCGACGGTATATGTCCATTTGAAATCGAAGTGCAGAACGATTTAACGGCAAGAGTTTAGATTGAATGAGTTATGGACCTTACTACTTCGACGCGATAATACAAACGTTCCTTTTATTGTTCACTAATTTCTGCTACTTTTATTTTTATAATGAATTCAATGGCAGGTGATGGGTAACACTGGTGAAGTCTAAGTTCACTCAAAATTTGTCGCAAACAGGTATTAACTACCTAAAGGTACAATCGCACTCTAAGATGATTGCATTATTGTAACAGAAAATATTCTGAGCAGTAAAAAATTCCTTGCTGTTTATAGACAGTGAGTACGGAAATAGAGATGTTATTCTGTCCATCATGACGTAAACATGGTCAGCGACATAGTAAAGTGTCTGCAATTGTGGCTTAATTGCATTAACAGGTTCAGCCATCAAGTTGAAGGTCCCAGCATACAGAATTTAAAAGATCATGACAATGAAAGCGAAAATTGCTACAGGTGATTGAAATCCCGGTCCTAAAAATCAGTGTTACTGAATGTGGACACCCGTTTGCATGCGTACGAAATAAATGCAAGCCATACACGCTATGAACTAGCGTTCTGAATTGGTTGCTGGAGCAAAGAACAACTAGTTTCGCGCTTCGGTACCGGATTACTTGGTAGTGATCGAAAACAGCAAGTAAGTGAGAAATGGCCACCTCAGTGAGGACTGAGCGCACACTGCTTCTTTTATACTTTGATTTATTTGGGCCTGGCCGCTG